CGACGACAGAGGTGGTGGCGACGGCAGCGGCTGCAATGACGGTGCCGGCAGAGGGAACGACGGAGTCAGTCCCAGAGGCAAAGCCAATTGATGCAAAATTAAAAACAAAAAATGCAGGGAAACACTAATGAAAATGTGGCGCCGAAGTGGTGTGTAATGGATAGCACCACTCGTTAGATGTATTATGTATCCACCAACGCATCTCATAGTGACAACACTGTAGTTAATGGCAATAGGTTTCTAAAAGGCTTGGTGGCACAAAATTACCTGCGCGCCACAAAGTGACCGCGGTTTACGGTACGTGGATTGTTTTGGAATATATTTGGTTTTAATTAAAACTTTATTGGGAACATGTAAATTGAAGAATCGAGAAAGTGAGCTCTCTTAGATAAACATTATCAAGCGAGAAAAATTTTAGTGCAAAATATTGTCTTGCAGTCAAATTCCACGTGTTGACCAAAAACATTTAATGTGAAATAAAAATTGTTCTTTTTCTTCTTAATTTCTTCTTCTTCTTCTTCTTATTATTATTATTATTATTATTATTATTATTATTGTTATTATTATTATCATTATCATTATTATTGTTATTGTTATTATTATGACTAAGATAAAAATGAACTAACTACTTACTGACATTTGATTTGATTTATTTAGATTGGAGTGGCGTCGGAAATGATAAGTTATGGTGGCGTGAGCGGCGGTGGCGGCGGTGATGGCGGCGGAGGCGGTGGCCGTGGAGGCAGCGGCGGCGTGTGCGGTCGGTCGTGAGTTCCCAGACCGCTCTCGTAAGTTACGTTAATTGCAGCCACTCCAAGCCACAATGAGAAGTAAATGTAGCGGTGACTGGATGGAGCAACGATTGCCGGAAGGGATTAGAGAATAGTGTGGTAATGAGTAGATATGAGTGAAAATATCTCGATGTGTACATTGAATGTTATCTGAAGAGAACCTTTGAACAATATTGAAAAAAACCATAGAACATTTTCTTCCGTAATGTATCGTTGCGTCATTATTTAAAAAAATGTGATGAAAATTGTTTTCTGCTACAAAACTTTTGGTAGGAATAACATTCACTCTTTTCCATATTCACATTCTTGACTTTCTTTGACAATCTTGACATTCTTGACCAATGATTATTAGTAATAAAGGTAATTGTGAAGTAATGTGCGGCTAATAAAACCAAGCGCCATCGTCGTGGTACCACTATTCGAATCCCAAGCAATCCGAGAGGATTCATAAAACACGAGTATGGGATATTTTTTCAACTTTCTTCCTCATTTCACCAGCGTAAAATTGTCCCCAATATATTACTCATTAAACTTAAGTTAAGCCATACGAATATTTAGGAAACGCAGGAATGTATGGACATTGTATTTCGGACGATAGTGATATCAAAACCTGCGAAAGATTAAGATAAGAGTATGAATGTAGCAATAACACAGCTTTTAAAAGAAATTGTATGATGCTGAGTTGATACACTTGTCGAACTAGAAAAACATTTCTTAAATGATTGGGCTCCCTCAACATAAACTTGGGGGCTGGTCAGAATGAACAAATTTAAGAGCAAATACTAACAACTTAGGTACTTCAGGGGAACAGTTGATGTTATGCATTGCCTCTCACCGACAGTTCTTAGAGTTTGAGTCCCGACGGTGGCAGACCTTTCGGCACTAGCTGGAGAGCTAGGTAAAATTCAGCCGCTGTCTGGAGAATACTAGCAGGAAATTTTAGCTTTGATCGGTTGCTTTCCATAGTTTCTCCGATCAACAGCAGGGGAATGCGATAGCCGTACCGTAACAAACAGGCCACTGACCGCGCGCGATATTTCCTTCCTCTTCCTTGTCCTATCGTCACCCCTTCAATACACACTTACACTCAAATGCACGACACCTCGAATGTCAGTTGGGACCGTAGAGCATGTCCCGGCTGAGGCGGTGTCATGTTGGTGGGAAATACCTAGTAGTGGAAAACCCCGCTCATCGGCGCCAGATCTCATCATCCAGCGGGGGAAGATCTCCCGCGATCACACATGCACTACAGTTACGAGACTAATAAGCTTAGCCTATGACGTGACCGCAACCACTAATCAATAAATGAATTAATCAATCAAGAGGAAATTCTGAAAGTAAAAGGTCAACAAAGCGTGAATGAGTGTTTTTAGTGTTTCCAGGTCCATCAACTACTTTGACCATTAGTTCCAAAACATGAGTGTAGTTGCATATTATATCCCGAGTGGCGATATATCTCATTCGCTGAAATGTGAAATCTGGCTCCGACTAATATGTCGCTTTAAAGGGGTTCCGCGTCTTGGACAAGCTCTAAACTCTGAACTGGCCTGCAGATATGTGAGGTAATGTAGTCCATGTGAGTGGTAATGTGTGTAAAGGAAAAATGGATTCAAGTATGAAGCAAGAAACGTAGGCGTGCCCGACGGCCCGTTTGTTAAAATATTTCTGCGGCATTCATCTGGAATTGAACGAAGAAACTACAGGAAACTACTGATTAGAGCAGCTGGCAGCCAAAATTGTCCTCCAGACAAGGGTGGAATTCGACCTAGTTATGTAGTCGACCTGGTTACGAGTCGAAAATTCACCACTATCGGGACTCAAACCCTAGGATCTCCCGCTTAACGACGCTTCAAATGCATAAGAAGTTTCTCCTGTGCTATTACAGCTGATGAACAAACATGAAAATGATGCAGAAGTCTGGGGACTGTATGAAGAGTGTTATTTCTAAGTGATCATGTAAAGAATATTAAATGAAAGAGTATTCTCGGCATGTTGAGAGGAAGTAGCAGAAAAAAAAGTATGTTTAGAGCGAAATAAAACGATAAAAGATAAAACGGAAGAAGAGAGGAAGAAGAAGAAGAAGAAGAAGAAGAAGAAGAAGAAGAGAGAAGAAGTAAAACAATTTCCAGTTGCAGAGAAATGCTTACCTAACCAGTCGCCAATTGCTCTATTTGCAACTTCTACAGCTAACGACGCGAGCGACAGTTCCTTAACCGGAAAGGCTGTCCACGAGGCACCGCGACTTATTGAAATGTTAATCCCGAGCCCCATTTGTTCCTGTAGAATGTTGCCCAACGGCGACCGAAGCGTTGCGATCGTGCTTACGACGTCCCGACTGGGCGTCTCCCGAGCAGCCAACATTGCACCGACACCTGCTGCATACTCTGCCCATGTCCACAGCCGCGCGCCGCCGGGGCCAGCGGCGGAGTCGGCCGCGCAACAGAGATCCGGACGCGAGATGCGGGGCGGCCGCGGGGCCGCGGCCTTGTCGGGCAAGCCACGCGGCGCGGAGCGGCGTCCGCTGCGAGACCGGAAACGGCCGGTGGCGAAGGACGGCTGACGCCTCCGTGGCGCTCCTGGCGGAATCAGGGAGAAACGACCGCCGCTCCCGGGGCACCGCGCTCGCTCAGATTGAGAGCAAGTTTTCCATGATCGACCCCCCACCATTTAGGACTTCTGATGTCACGATGACAAGCACGTCAATCTACTAAAACACATGTATTTCGAAATGTATTTAAAGCCCTGCGGAGTTGCTATTCGTTTTGCAATACCTTGAACGTGACCAGAATCCGAATTTCGGCCTACGCGATTAACATTTAACATAAAACTTGGAATTATCATAATCATAATCATCATCATCATCATTGGTCTTTGTTTACCGATGACACATCAGTTGGGTGTGGTGTTCACTGTCCTCAGTTACGAACCATGCTTTATTACACTCAAATATAAACTTAGCTAACTTACCATCCCACCATACCGCAACAGCTCTTGAGTTCATTGCAGCCGTTACGGACTGGCCACCTGCAACCCACAAGCGCTTGGAGATATTTAACAAATTACAATGCAGTTTCATGCAACAATGGAATAAAATTTTCTTCCGTTTGCAAATCGAAGCAAGCATGAAAACTTTAGTCTGGCTACACAATTTACACCACCATTTCACCTCCCAAAATAGCTACCCTCATTCAATACCTACCCAACGCGCTTGGTGGCTCTTTAAACGACATGAAATTGTACTATCATTCGATTTGATTGATTGATTAGTGATGCTGTGCGCGTGAATTGCTAATGTCATTAGTCCCGTAAGTTTAGTACTTGTGGTTATCGCGGGAGGTGGCGGTGATCTTCCCTCGCTGGATGGCGAAATCCGGCACCGACCAACCTTTCGACTCGCAGAGTTTTCCACCAGCCAGGCATCAGGGCAACCAGCTGGCCACCGCCCCAGCCGAGACAAGCCCGAAGCTCCCGACTGGTCACACGACATGTGTTGTAGAGAAGTGCGTGTAAGAGAGTGCGAATGTTAATGGGGCGTGTAGCACAGGGCAGGAAAGAGCGCGCGCGATCTGAGGCCCGTTTGTTAGAATACTGCTCTAACATACGCCAGGTGTTGACGGGAGAAACCACGGAAAATTACCGATCAGATCAGCCGACCGCTAGAAGCGTCCTCCAGACAGTAGCTGCAATCGACCTAACAGTGTAGCTGTATCGAAACTCGGGAATCGGGCCCAAGTACCTCCCGGACAGAGGGCACTGCAGCCACATCACTTGTTGCCCTGAGCCACCTCAGCCGGTACTATCATTCGGCTGACGCCTCCGCGGAGCTCCTGGTGGACTCCGGGGGAAACGATCGGCGCTCCCGTTGGGGCGGGGGCGGCAGAGAGCGGGACCCCTCCCCCCCCCCCTCACGCGGCCGCCGCGCCGCACCATCAAAGCGACAACTCCGCGTAATATATGCGGCACTTTCTCCAGCGACATTCCACGGGAGACGCCTGCCCTCCTCTGTCATTTCCATCGCTTATTCCGCTTAGTGCGAACGTTCGCCGGCGGGATGTGATGCGCATTAGTTAGATTCAGTCTCCACGGAGTCGGAAGTGAACTCGGCACCGCAAGATGACCCGACGCAGGCGCATCTTAACAACAACAAAAAATATCGCGGAAGTTGTTGGACGCGCTGACAATAGGCCGTGACGATGTGAGTTCTTGCTCATGGTTAATTCAGATTTTCAGGAAGGCAGAACTAAAGGGAGTATGTTGAGGAAATGATATCGCAACGTTTCCATGTGCAATCCTGTCCACATTATTAGGCTAAAACGGTCTTTGAGGTTTTTCAACAAATTTCTTTCAAATACTGGCTTGTAGTTGTGTAATGCGTTTGGTACGGACATCAGGCTGCCATTATAAATTGTATCGAACAAGTCAATGAAAGTTATGATGTTCCAAGATGACATTAATGATCAGACAGCCTGTTTGCTTAGTGTTCAGTCTACTGCGTAGGCACCAACTGTTCAGTCAAACTTGAACTATTTTTGAGTAAACACAGGTTTTAGTGTGTTGTGAGTGTTGTAAGTTGAAGAGATTTGAATATTACTGTAAAATATTAGTCAAATCATGATAAATATATTTTCGATCGAGGACGTTTTATAATATCTCGTTCTTTGGCACCATGATGAACTCAGGCTGCGTGTCGAAAAAAAATTGTGAAACTGTGCATAAAAGGCATAAAACGCTCGTGGAAAAAAAGAAAATTCCTACTAAATATTAAAGAAACTCTTTAATTAGATCGCTGGTGAGGTAGATACCATTTTATTATGATAAATAAATAAAGATGTCTGGTATCAATACTTTTTATTCAGCTTATCATCGTTTCAGGTGATGCAGGCATTGTATGCAAGATCCGTAAGCAAACTGGGTCGTACATACCTTGCAGCTTCCGGGCCGAAAAGAAAGTTCTATTTCACACACACTCAAAAATTCGCAGAAATTTGTTTTCGGCCCGAAAGTTGCAAGGTATGTACGACCCAGTTTGCTTAAGCATCTTGCATACAATAACTACAACCTGTAAATAATATTTGTATTTCAAATTTTAGCTCTGAGGATGATCGCTAAGCAATCAAAACGATCATGAGCTGAATAAAAAGTATTGATATCAGACATCTTTATTTATTTATCAAAGAAACTCTTATGTTATGTCAAACTGTTTTCATTGCATATTCTTAAATTAAAAAAGAAAACACAATTGAAACGTTGTTAGTCTGATAATTTGGACCGGAGTGTAGGTGTTCAAAGTGGTGCAGGGAGAAACTTTTGCTCTCCCGCTGAGCAACGGCACCTGTTCTGCGCGTGAAACGGTACCTGTTACGGACTGCGCGAGCGGCGCGGCCTACGAGAACGCAGATGTGGTGCGTCTGCGCAGTTATCTTGCGCAGCATTCCGAGTTCTGGGAGTCATTACACTTTCTTCTCTCTGCAATTAAGGGGAGCTCGTAAGCACTAGCTAGTGCCATTCTGAGGTTCTGGTGGATTATGATGCAACACTCTTTGGTGACTGTGTGTTGGGAGAACTGATGTTATGCGTGAGGGGTGAAGGATGGAAAGTTATGAAAGCGTAACAGCAGTGCATTTGAAATATTCACGTACGTTTGACTCTATATGGTGATCTTCTGGAGCACGTTTCTGTGAAAGTAATTATCAAACGTGTATTGCACGGACACTTGCACGTTCCAAGGCACTTATTAAATTGTTACTGCGTATCAAATAATTATAGCATAACATTTCTTGACCTCAAAATTGTCAATTATCTGTTTTTATTTTCGTAGACATGTATCGTAATTGTAACGAGTACTATCAGCAAATAAATGAACAGATGCTCATCTTGTCGGTATTGGATTTACAATTTCTGCTAATCACTGAGTATTTTGATAAAGAAGGAAAGAAAACATATAAATTCAGCAGTGTTAAATTAAGAGATAGATGTTTAAAAGAGAAAAATAAAATAAAAATTCGAAATTAAAAGATGTTTATTTTAAATTATTACAAACCTCATAGGTTTTAGTTTTCATCTGAATTTAAAGTAAACACTTAAATATCAGCATGCAGCTAAAAAAAAATAAAGAATGGTTTTATTTATTTGCTGTCGACTCCTGTGTGAAATGTTTCACCAGTTGAACTACAGTGGCTATTGTGCTGCAAGCTACTAATAAGAAGAGTTCAAATACGTTTCTCTGTCTTAGAAATTTCCTCCCAACATTGTCGTGTAAACAATCATCTTAGAAATACCAGTTTACACCAGTTTCTTCTAGTGATAATGTAGGTAGTAGAGAATTTTCAGGACTTAGTCTAAGAATTATCTACAGTAAATTTCTACAATACTTTTCGTTTACCCGTCCAGAAAATAACTTGTGTCTAACGGTTTTCTTGACGTTTTACGCGTTTTAAAAGTGCCTTGAGTATGAACGTACTATTAATTTATACTATGGGTTTATATGACATTGAGCCATAAAAACAATATATGGTTGTCATTTGTGATTTGTGATATTTTCCGTATGTTGATTTCTGCAGGAGTTCCATTCAAAGCAAATTCATTTCTAAATACGTAGTTATTAGGAGACGAAATTGTTATTATCACTATTCTTGTATTACTATTACTATTACTATTATTATTATTATTATTATTATTATTATTATTACTATCCAGACAGAGGGGATGTAGGCAGCGCTTCTGAGGAGCTGTGCGGAGGAGGCCGGCGAAAGGCGTCGCGCAACGGCACTCGCCACGCGGGCGTAGCCAACGGCACCTGCTCCCCCGGCCACGCCCTCGCCTTCCCAACACGTACGCCGCCATTCCCTGCCTGCGCAATCCTCATTGATTATTTTCTTTCAGGGCGCGTCCACTGCAATGCTCATTAGCCATGCAAGTGTAGGGCATGGAATACCCCGTGGGGTGGCGGTGTTCCTCACAAATCGAACGTGAGATTCGGTGCCGAGCTGTAGGTTTTCCTCGTTTAGGTACCTCCCCCAGTTGGGAACTTCTCCAGCTGTGACAAGCTCTGAGATTTCGACTGGTCTCTCGGCATGGGCATTCGTTCGTGCATGTAAGTTTATGTACGTATGTGTTTGGTAAAATGAGGGGACAAGTTTGAGGAAGGAATGATGTCGCGCGGTTTAATTTGTAAAGTTATATAAGCGAGAATTGAGTTGTTTTAGTTAGTTATTTAAGAAAAACCTTCTGTGTAGCTGTAGGGCTGTAGCAAAAGCACGTAGGGCCAATAGAGGTATGATAAATTTCCACCTCCACATTGGTTGTGAATAAAATCAAAAAATATTTAATGAAAAAAAATATTGTGGTGAGCAGAGCGTTCTCACTTGAGGCCCGGCCGCTGAACGAACGGCGCCTGTTTCACCCAGCTGCGCAACGGGACTTGTCACTGCGAGCGGAACCCCAAGAGTCCTTTACCACTTCTGCTGCTGCTAATCTAAAGAGGGTGCCGGTTCTTATTTTCAACCATATACAATACTTCAATAAGATGACCTCACATTGTCTAAACGTAGACATCTAGCCCATACAACTATACATTTTTATTTCTGGATGCTTTTTCTCTTTTAATTATTTTCAAACCAAATATATTGGTGTTTTCCTTCGAAAGAATGATTTAAATTCTGAAATGTATAGCTTACAGCACATTGTCTGTACACATATATTGTACAACACTTATGTTATTTTTGCACATCAGTTATTTTAATCCATAATCAAAGACATTTCTTAAAAAATTAAATGTTTCATTAAAATAGAAACATTAAATTTGGGACCATTTCAATTTAAAAAAATGGATGTTTGGATCTTTTATCACAAATATTTCAGTTAGTTTATTTTGGTATTTGTAAAGATATTTAAAAGAAAATTACGTATTATCTAATAAGATGCACATTAGAACAAATCTGCATGAAAATAATAAAATCCTTTTTAATATGCCACAATTGAGTCGAAATAATAATGTAAATAAAAACTACAAGTTTCACAAAAAAATATTCACTCTTAGAAATAAATCATTGCATTAATTTCATGGCACCATTTCTGGATGATGACTCGTCAATATAGTCGTAAAACAGATTTTGGGCATGAAGAATCACTGTTCGGAAGCAGAAATGGCGAGGGCATATCATAGATGTGCCCTAAAGCGTCGGGGCGTGAGAGCGCGAGTACGCGGCTCCGCGGAAGCGCTTTCGTTGGGCCGCGAGCGGAAGAGCGGCACCTGCTGTACGCAACCGAGCGGGCAGCGCCACTCGCTTCGCAGCGCGCGCCGGGAGAAAGGGGCGGTGCCGGCGACGGCACCTGCTGCGCGGCGACCCGCGGAGGCACGTGCTACACGCGCGCCCCGCCCC